GGGGGGGGGCATTTAACCAGGCCACCGCTGCGTGACATTTTGGCACCTGCAGTGCCAGATGGATCATTTTGATTGCTGCAGCCACATCGCGCTCATCAAGAACGATGTGTCAGTGCTGGTACTCCTCATATGCTACTGCATCAACGTTGTGACTCATTCGATTTCTCAACAATCTGACGTAGGGCAAATATATGATAAGAGTTGCTTCGACCGGACCGTAAGCCACACTGCTCTTCTTGTGTCTTTGAGTCAGTTATTTCGCAGCACCTTTTTTCTGGCGCTTTTGCGTGAACTTTTTCCTGGAGGATCGATAAGGTAATTCCTCGATGGTTGGGCAATCTCTGTCATCTCCCTTTTTGAACATGGGTACAACAGCCCTCGTTTTCCAGTCAGCTAGTGTCTTTCTCTTAGCCGTTGCAGTTTGAAAGACACGTGTAAGGCAGCACATGCCTTGTTCACCTAAAGCTTTGAGAGTTTTGGGGGCTGATCATAATCACTTTTCAAGCTTTCGCAGCTTTAGTGATTTCATCTGCAGATATACTAGAGTCTACCTTTCAGATGAGTATTTCTGCGGTTGCGCGGGGTTAAGGTATTCCTCAAAGTACTCGCTCCATCGTTGAAGAATTTCTTCATCCTTCGTAAGAGGGTGTCCAGGCTTGTTCTTCGGGACTGTTAGTGCCTTTCTTTCCATCTTGCAGGCGGCGAACGTTTTGTCAGAATACCTCGCTTGCCGTTTGGAAATTTAACTCCAGCGTCCCACCGAAATTTTCTGATGAGTCAGCTTTCACTTCAACCACTGCTTCTACTGCCGCTTTGCGCGCTTCTACATTCCACATGCGTGTTAAACGTTCTTCTTTTTAAAGCCAACTTGAATGCATTTTTTTCCTCAGTGGCAGTCGGTGTAGCTCTTGTATCCATGAGGAAGCTCATTTTTGAGCTGTAGGCGGCAACACAACCCGCTTTCGAGTATCGCATTCGGCGGCAGCAACGAGTAAACCGCTCTTAAAGAGGTTCCGTATGATTTGCATATCAAATAAACATATCGTCGAGATGTGTTCAAACCGTCGTGCGATGTTGTTTGCAAGTTTCGTTTTCGTATCCTAAGTTATTGTTGAGGTCGGTAGGGCCGTTTTTTCCGAATCACGCAGTTCCACTTTTCAGCGACTACTCCGACACGCATTAAAATCGCCCATCAATATGAGGGACTCTGTATTCGGCACTTCAGATAGAGCACACTGCACTTCCTCAAGGAAGGTATCATGCTCTCCCTCCTGTACCAAGGTCATCGCTTTAGCCTGTTGTAGCTTCAGTCGGAGGATTGCCATCATTCCGCTGACAGGCTTCCATTCAAGGATCAGTCAGTTAGGTTCTACCAGAATACCAACAGCGGCCCCAGCGCGCATCGTCATATCGACCATTGAGTAGAACAGCTTCCATCCGTTGAGGTTCAGGAGTCCAGAGCCTTGGTGCTTCATTGACGAGAGTGCAACAATGTCGAGTTGGTACTTTATGGCCTCATCAACTACCTCTTGCTCTTTCTGAGTGAGGATATATTCCAATTTCCAACTGTAAGCTCAAACTGTCAATGTTGTTCCTGTGGAACCTTATCTGGCATGCTTTAATGGTATCATGGTCTCTGCCTTCTTCGTTCAGAATGGGTAGCGACTCCGTTACTGACTGGTATTTTCGTCGTCTTTCTGTCAATCTTCCGCAGCCGTCGCCCTCGACTGTCAGGAAGCATGAAGCAGGTTGTAATCGCGTACTCTTTGCACCCTGTCTGAGTCTCCCAACAGCCTGCGCGGTTCTTGTTAACCCTGGCGATGATCAAGCTAGTGTAGTGTTCAATGCTGGCAGCACCTTGAGTAGCGGATGACTGAGTTTTACGGGGATAATCGGCACGGTCCCAAAGCCTCGTCCTTTTCATCCGGTCTTAGGAAAGCAACAGCTAAATTGAGGATTGGCTTGTTACTTTTTCCAATTCCTTTTTATTTGATTGAATGACTGCAGCCGCTGTTATTGCTATCGCTGGGTTTTCATCGTCATGTGAGGCTAGAAGAGTTTAAACAGCTGAATGACCCATATTTATGAGCCGGGTTTTCGAAACGTACTTTGGATTCATATTAGGTGATGTCCAGCTCTGCAGTAATGGTCATATACCATTCTGCACGCAGATTTGCTTCTGTGAGGCTTTTCCATTTTTTTATGGTTATTTTTTATAATTTGCTTTTATTTGTTTGAAGTATTGCAGCTGCGAAACGTGATATTACTGTCGCAAAAACAGTTTGCAAAATAGAAGCCGTAATTGAATCTGTTAGTGTTTGTTAAATGTCAATTTATCATTTGATTAGCAATTGAAAAACTAATCTCTCTGTTCATCTCACTTTCCTCATTGACGAAGATCGATGACTTGTACTTGTTTGTGTTGGGAATGCTTAAATTCGACGACAGCTATGTCACCTCCCCATCTGTTCGTTCTCCACGTATGGCAATGTTTTGAGACCTACCAACAGCTGCTGTGAATCGTTTCGTCTGTGCCAGCTTTCTCACTTCCGTCGCATCGTATTGCACCGATGATCCGTCAGTGTATCTCGTTTCTTTCAGCGGTGTCTGGTTTCCTTCCATTCCAACGTGTGTTGACGTTTCTTCTCTGTATTGCGGATGACCGTCATCTCATGTTTCCACCGAAATTCTTGTGATGGCATAGTATCTGCGGTACAGTTTTAAAACGAGCGTTGAACACATAAATAATAAACTTATATGCAAATGTCCATAACTCTACCAAACCGGGCAACGTTAAGCCACGACAGAACGTCCTTGTATTTTAATCTACAGGGATCCATTTATTCCAGGTGCAGTTTCATGGTATTTATTTACGTAAATCAGTGTATATTGGGTAGTTTTTATTAGCAAAAGCAGTGCTTTGATCGTCATCATGTTTCTCGAGTTGACACTCCTTGTACTCACTTGCACACCATTTCAATAGTAATTTGTGAGGTATGAGAAATCTGTGCAAATTTGTTGTTTCCGTTTCTTCGGTTGCGAAAGCAGTAATGCCGAACATGCTTCGTCATATTTACAGCACTACAGTAACAGAGCGATTTTCAAGTTGGTTTTTTTATATCGGCGAGGGTCGGAAAATTAGGATAATTACTTAACTATACACTGAGATGAGTTCTTTGCTCAAGGAAATTGTCGGTTGGCACTACAAATTTTGTGTCCCACCCTGTAGTTCTAAACTTGCAATACAGACTAAAAATCCATTGTGCCAACGCATCCTCACGCCCATTTCTTGTTATTCTTATCTATTCAATATTACTTATACGCACTGAATACTACACATATTAACCGTAGATGCATCTTAGATGTATCGATATTGACTCACGACTAATAGCAGTCTTTCACGACCTGTAGGTAAGACACAAATCTGATATTAGTGAAAATTCGTAATCGAAATTAGTACAACTACTCTTGATCGTTAATTCCCTTGAGCAAGGAATTCGCCCCACGTTACCTCGGTGCAACAATCCTAGAAACAGATGGCAAATGGTTGACTTCGAAAAACAGAGGCAGCATGGTGTTCAATCCAAAAATCAGTCATGTTTACGTCCTGCACCGGTACTTTGTTAAATTGATGTACATTATCTATGGAGATTTGGCCGCAGTTATTTATTTGCTGCTGCTTCGCGTAAAATGTGGCGCCGTCACTTCAATCATCATTGTTACAATCCCCTTTGGTAAATATCCTTTTCACTGACTTGAGCTGTGAGAAATACGCTTGTTCCGTTTTACATTTACCCACTGGCAGAGAAACGTATTGATAAATTGCGAAACACTTACGGGTTGGTTTTTTATTTTGAGGAAACGAAAGCTTAACATTCGGCAAAAAGGAATAGCAGGCCCACATGAGAAGTTCATACAGTTTTTGTTTTCTTATAAATTCATTTGTACTGGAATTTATCTTTAACCGTTAAAGCTACTTTTCCCTTTACATTTCGGTAAATGAATTTTTTAATAAATAATTCTTAACGTTTCTTCGAATGGATATAGTTCCATTCCGTCGTTAGTTTTATCCAAAAGTTGGTTAGCTTATCCATGATATATACGCAGTCTGAAGCAACGATCATTGGTGTACCTGTTAGGGTCATCCCTGGGTTGCCCTCAAGGTCGAATAATGAATAGCTGCTAGCTTCTCCTCTGTTGTACCATTCGCATGATACTTTGTTGTACTTACAACTGTCATTATCACTTGTTTATCCGTCTCCAAACACTTGCCGGATCGTTGTTTTTGACGGTCAATTAGGGGTGATGTCCGCCACCGCGTTTAGCGAGTGTTCCACTGCTTGTAGTCGGAGAGGGCTTAATCATCACTTCTGATAGTGTCGCACCAGGTCTTAACTTGTCTGCCTCTTTCTGGTGCCATCTTTAAACTGAGGATGGCGTTCAGTGTCTTGTGAACAACTCAGCACGCGACCCAGACAACACAATCGCCGTTCTTTTAGGACAGTGGAACGCTGGATGATGTTGTATCGAGGACTGGTTGTGGTGTTGGATATAAGATTGATGAATTATACCGGTAGCTACGTGATTCGTAAAACTAACCAGTAGTCGAGAGATGCTAGTTTTCTGACGTCTTCATCTCTTAGGGCTTAGCCCTCACTACCATAAAGAAGGATGGCAGGAATGTATCTTGCAATACTCGGCACACTTCCTCTTCAGACTGATTATCCGTTATTT